TGCGATGATGGGCTCAAGTATAGCAGGGATTGTGGGGCTGGCGCGGGATCGGGCAGTGTTTCGTTCTGCTGTGCATGGGGTCGCTATGAGTCAGAAACGACTCGTCAGCACTTAACAACAACAACAACATAGAAACTATGCAAATACAAATTTACTTGCTGTTCTGATAAGCAGTGAAATATTTAGTGGGGAGGTAGGAAGATCCGGAACCCTGGAGGTATTTAAGCAGAAGATTTAGGGGGCGGGGGTGGGCAGAGGTCAGCCTCAGATAACCTTTAAATTCTCTCAACCCATAGTTTCAGAGATGTGAAGGTGTGGGACGGAAGGTACATTCAGGCAATCTATTCTCTTCTCAATGTTTAACATCAGGATAATGGCAGATCCAATACCTTTGGTTCTAGTTTGTTTGTCTTTTTGCTAACGGGAGCTCTGGTGGCTTGGTGCCTAAGGCATTTGACTGCTAACCAGAAGGCTGGTGGTTCAAACCCACCAGCTGCTCCTTGGAAGGAAGATGGGGCAATCCATTTCCATAGAGATACCACCTCGGAAACCCAAAGAGGGGTCGTCGCTATGATTGGGATCTGACTCAACAGCAGTGAGTTTGGTTTGGTTTTTTGGTTGGGATCAGACACCAGAGCTAGTGTTTTGAAAAGTTCTAGATGTTTCTCTGTATTTGGAAAAGCCTGATAAATTTGTTCAGAATTTCAAATTCTGGGCTTTAAGAGGAAATGGGGCAATCAATGAAAAGGAAAAGAAGCCCTTTATAAAGCGATAAAAGTAAATGAGACTTCCAAGGCTCTCCAATCTGCTTGCACACAGAGCTTGAGAACTATTCCTCATGTTCCAAGCTGAATATCTACCAAATCCTACTCTGAGGTGCAGATGGAATTGAATGGAGGGAAACGATAGTGTGGCTTTTACACTGGCAACACAAACTGGTGGCCTGTGGTGACTGATAGGGCAGGCATGTTTTGTGTGTCTCATACCATATTTAAAAGCAAGATGGAATGAATTCCTAACATAAAAATCAGATGTTTTCATATGAAAACCCTCCTCTCTCCTATGTTTGCCTCTCTTGAAAATTCAGAAGAATCTACAGTGGGCCCACATGCAGTCATACAACAAAAAAACAAGATCAGAGAGGTGGCCGCCCCCTCAGATGGGACAGTACCTCGAGAAGATCCTACATGGCCCCTTCTCCCTTTTCTATTTCCTGCCTGGACTATGGAGGCATCTTTTATTCCCCCTCTGCAGACAAGATTGTGGTGTGTGGAGGAGTGTGTCCTGGCACCTAAATGGCCAGCATCCTATATGCTGCTACACTGTGCAACAAGCACAGAGGATACGTGTCTTTTAAAAAGTTGAAGGTCGGCGGTTCAAACCCACCAGCCGCTCCTTGGAAGGAAGGTTGGGCAATCTGCTTCTGTAGTGATACTGCCTTGGAAACCCCAGGAGGGGTCGCTGTGAGTTGGGTCTGACTGGATGGCACATAACAACAACAATAACAGCATGGCCCTGGTACAGTTTCTGTCATGTCATAAGAGCTCAAGAAATTGACTCGCTTCTATCTCCTTCTACAACCTCCAGGTTTCCCCTCTTTTTTTATTTCCCAAATCTAGACTTTTTTTTTTAACTGTAAAGAGCTAATTTTAATAATTACTCTGCATTTGGAAATGGAGAATGGTGATGGTTGCACAACACAGGGAATGCAATGTCACTGAATTGTACGTATAAAAAATGGTTGAAATGGCCAATTTTTGTTGTATGTATTTCACTACATAAAAGAATAATAACTACCCTGGCACAATATATGCAAACTAGAACAGTCATGAGCCAACTAGGACATTAAGTAAAGCTTCGGAAGGTGGAAAGCTTTGCAATGCTCTCATGCAAATTGTCCTATGACTGTCCACACCAGCTTGCTTCAATACTCTCAGTCAGTTCCTTCTGCACTGAAACTTTCTTTCTCATCTCTTTCCCTCCACAGTCATTTTCAATTTCATGTCACTGTTAGGTGAAAAGGCATCTGATTAAAGGTATTCCAGGAAGTTAAACTACATTAACTCTTTAACTTTTATTTTCCTTATCTAGGGAAGAGTGTTTTCCGGATTATAAGAGAAATACATAGTCAGTATAAAAAATATGAACATTACAGGTACATTGCCCAAAGTTTGAAGTGTATCAAGGAGAGGTGACTGTTAATTTGGTTCATTTTCTTCCAGCTCTCAATCTTGTATAATGTTACATACTTTTTGCTTATCAAGCATTTTCCCATGCAAACATTTCACTATACATAACATTAAGGCTTAGTACGTTTTGTTGCTTATGTGCCTGACACTACTCTAAGTAGTTTATAAGCATGATCTAATTTATTCCTTCCAATATCCCTATTAAATAGGTATGATTAATCCTATTTTATTAATGGGAAACTGAGGCAGGGAAAGCTTAAGGAAATCTTTTCCAGGTGACACAGCTAGTAATTGCTAGAATCCAAGATTGAAATTTAGATCATCAGACTCCAGATCTTGCACTCACAGTACTAGATGTAATGTCTTAGAAATGCTCCTTCATTTACTTTTTTATTGCTATTGAGTAGAAAAAATCAAAAAGAATTGGATTTGGTAATAAAATAAAGACAAATGAATCTTCTATCTTCTTACCCCCTTCAAAGCATCCCTTACTCCTGACAAAATCCTCAACCCTTTCATGTCCTAAATTTTCACACACCTGTGCCATCTATCCAGTTGATAACTCTCCCTTCCTCATCTGTCTCCCACTTCCAATTTCCTATAACCAACCTATTACCAATGGCTAAGAAACCAATTCTGATTCTTAGACATCTCTTTAAATTATCTTTTTTTCTCCCTCTCCCTTAGGCCACCATCAGCGAAGACAAGGAAAGCTGGCATGACACACACATTGCCTATTAATAGCTTTGACTCTTGGAGACTCTTACATTTTCTTTCCTACTGAAGAGTTAATATTGTAGATATGAATGGTCCAAATTGACACAGTGGCTATCCATTTTTCATTGGCAGTGAGTTAGGTGAAAGAAGCCACTTCAAGTCTTCAATAAGGATCAAAGTTGGATGTACATATTTTCTGTGCAATTTTTACCATATCCAAGAGCTTTGTTAAGCATATAAGATTATTTAATTTTTCCCTTCTGTCTGCATCAAGGAGAATGTCTTGAGCAGTTAAGACTGGGCTATAGAGTTAGTAGTTCTGCATTTAAGTTCCAACTCTGCTATTTAATATTTGTGTGACCTTGGACAAGTTATCCAATCTAAAGCTCAGAGTAGCTTTCTGAACTCTCAAATGGAGATGATAATGCTCTCTGCTGGAGATGGCTCTTGGGGGGAGTAAAGAGAGTAAAGAACTTGAAGTGTCCTGGCCTCATGTAGTGCCTGCAGCGTAGCTTATACTCAGCAGGTGCATTTTCGATCTTTTACCTCCCTTTCTACCCCTTTGTCCTCTTTTCTTCTCTTATTCAGTCTCCTGCTGCCTTTGTCATTCTATATGCTCACGATAAAGTCATGAAACAAATAACATAATTCACATCCTGCCTGATACCATCCTTCCTGCCTTTACTTTAGTAGGTGCTGTTGAAGTGCAGACTTTCAAATGAATATGTTTGCCTTTTACAGTATTTCCAGAAAGGACTCAGAATCCACTGGCCCATAAAACTCTACTTTGTACTCGCCGGTACTCATTCCCCAGATTAAGGTATCTTCCTGTATACACATCTTCTTCTAAAGAAGACAGCTACGTAGAAGTCAGTCTCTACTCAACTCCATCTGGTGAAAATAGTGAGGCCTCACTGATCTCAACTGTCAAGCAAGGAATTAAAAAGCAAGCCAGAAGAGCTCCCAAGCCAGCCTGGAGCAGTCCATTTTTAGAAAGTCAAATGGCAAAAAAGCCAACTCCGTCACACACAGCAGTTCCCGTGCACCTGGAGGCTGCAGGCAGGCACATTGATAGGCACGCCAGACTTCTGAACCGGGCCTCCTGCAACTCAGAGGAACGTCCTATTTTGCGTAGTAGGTATCATGTGTGGTTCCTAACTCTTTTGTTCTCATTTAAAATGGTCTTTTTTTTTCTTTTTTAACTTTGATATTAACAGCAAAATCACTGACCGAATGGTAGGTCCTGTTCTAGAAGGTGCGATAAGAACTGTATCAGTCAGTCCTTCCTGAAAGTCTAGTTGTTGCCAAGTGTTGCATTGGAGGAGAAAACATGTGTGAGTTGATAACAAGATATTTGATGATTCAGACATTATAGTAGATAATAGTAGTAATACTCTGTTATACTATATTTAATTATTATATGATTATAATATATAATAATAAAGATTATTATACTGTATATAATGATTACTGTAACTGTTTTAGCTCCCAATTATTGAGTTCTCACCATGTTTTAGACACTGTGCTAAGCATTTTGTTATTTTATGAAAGTCTCATGTGTACTTCAAGGCAAATAATATTATTATCCACATTTTACAGATATGGAAGCCTTGAATGCATAGTGCAGGACAATTTATATGATGAAGTGTCTCAAAACCACATTTGATAATAAGAGGAATGATTAGAAGCAGTGAGAATCAAGGGAAAGTGGACTGGCGTGAGCTCTGGAATCAGGGAGGCACTCAATAAATGCTAACAATAAATCAATGAATGAACAGACTTAATCTCACTAGTAACCCTACACAGTAGGTAATACAATCCTCATATTTTAGGTTCAGCTAAAGACAAAGAGGATTATTCCAGGTAAGGTACCAGGATTTGAATTTGATAACCTGACCCCAAATCCTGATTTATTACCTGATTGCATTCATTTAAGGAATTCCTATTCTTTGGCTTAAGATAGAGAGGTAAGTGTATTCTGTCTAGGTCACATTCTGTTGCTCTAAATTCCAGAGTCACATCCATGTTATCCGGTAGAATCTTCATGATTATAATGAATGGATCATTTGCCAAGGCTGGGGATATGAATCAACAAATTGCTATTAAGCATCTAGTTTTCACTAAGCAGTGCACTTGCCTCTTGGAAAGTTTTTATTTATTTGGAGATATTGCTATGCCAAGGAGCTCTGGTGACACAGCGCATAAGGCATTTGACTGCTAACCAGAAGGTTGGTGGTTCAAACCCACCAGTTTCTCTGTGGGAGGAAAATGATGCAATGTACTTCCATAAGGATTTATAGCCTTGGAAACCCAATGGGAGTCTCTTTGAGTTGGAAACGACTTGATGGCACTGGGTTTGGTTTGGTTTGGTATTGATATACCATTCCACCTGAATTTTCAGGAAATGATTCTAATGCTGAAGAAACAGATTCACTAAAAATCTTGCACTGTTTGACTTGGGTCTGTTGAGTGTGTGGTATGAGATGCATAATACAGACCTAGCATGGAATAGTGTGAAATGAATTAGCAGAATTTCTTAAAGGTAGGTCATTTTATAGCCATGGTTAGGAGATACTGTGTAGTTGAACTCTTACATAGTTTTTGAATTTGTGACTGGCCCTGTGGGCATTCACAATCAAATATTTTAGATGTCTATATGCTATTCAAAGGAGCTCTGGTGACATAGTGCTTAAGGCATTTGCTAACCAGAAGGTTGGTGTAGTGGTTCAAACCCACCAGCCACTCTGCAGAAGGAAGACTGGGCAATCTATTTCTTTAAAGATTTACCTCCTCAGAAACCTGAAAGGGGTTTTTATATTAGGTTTTGGTTTTTATTGATTCAAGGCCCTTTAGAAACTTGTAGAAAGCAATTAAAAACATGTAAATTGTCTTGCTTCACTGATAAAGAAATAGACTTTAATTTGTGTAGGTGGATGGCAGAATTCCTTAGGTAAAAATGTCAAGATGGACTATTTCGTTTTTGTGTGCCACCAAGTCAATTCTCACCCATAGTAACCCTATAGGACAGAGTAGAACTGTCCCATAGGGTCTCCTGGCTAAAATCTTTACAGCAGCACATCATAAGGTCTTTTCTCCCTCAGAGTCACTGGTGGGATTGAATCACTGATCTTTCAATTAATAGCAGGGCACTTCACCATTTTGCCACTCAGGTCTCTCTCCCCCC